AAACTAAAATCACCTGCTCTCCACAGATTCAAAGTGGTATTCGCGCCCTACTGTATGCCACAAGAATGAGCCAAAAATTTTAGCAACCATCTACAATGCCATTTATAGAGTGGTAACGGATAGTTCAGTACGACGGGTACTATGCCTTACTTTAGTTTTTTCTTTGACAATCATGGCAGCATTCAGGTGGAACTCCCCATTTTCCCATTTTCCTTCCTCTCGAATTTTTGCTGAGAAGTGCGCGAATGAACTGACTGCTGCAAAGGTTTTTGGATGCTCATTGTGCCCTAAGTGCTGGATAAATAAAGCGGATGCTTGTTTTGGGCTGAAAAATTAAATTCAACTCCATAATTTTGTTTGCACTGCTTGTGCTTTATGTAAATTTGTAGGTTTCTTCTAACTGATTCCACAGCATGGCCTGCGTGTCTTCTGTCAAACTCATAATTACTAGTCCTTTTATTTAGAATGTCGTTTTCGCATTTATTTGCATAGGTTATAATCAGTACCTTTTGCATGATTGTATGAAGTGCCTTACGATTATCTCAAGGGCAAAATTTGTGCATTTGACTAAATGTAAATTTTTGTAAGAGGACTTGGTATATGAAAAATGGCGCACTGGTGGCGGCAAAGAATGGACAATCGGAAGAGAAAAGTGCAGCATAGCGTGGCCTCGTTTCCCATGTCTTACGTTCCTTTCGTATCATGAGAGCACGTTCTGTTGCATTTCAAGGCGAAATTCTTCAGCGTTCAATTAGATAGTTTTAAATGACTTTAGCCTGAAAGTTGCTGAACGGTGACTACTTTTATGCTAAGACATTGAAAGAGCATTCGTGATTGCTTGAAGAAATTTGGTTACATTACGAAAGTGATAAGGGAGAACAATGAGTAGTTCGTGCAACCATGGCTTAAACCCCTCGCTCGGGTTGAAAATGTAAGATTTGAAAAACGAAGCGCCTATCCTCGTGCATTTCTCGATTGCGTGGGAAATGCCTAGCCGCTAAAGACCAGGTTAGAAACTAAACATTATGCTTTACTGCTCTTTTGGGATTCATTTTGATTGATGTTACCACTGGAGAGTAGAAAATCAAGTGGTTATTTTAGCATTTCATGGATGGTACACTACTTCTATTTTATATCCTTGGATTAAACTTGACCAATAAAGAAGGGAATGT